AGTAGTAGTATGAATGATATAGGTAGCACTTCGTCACATCTAAGTCACACAGCCATCACACTCCCGGAAAAGGACTGCACAAGCGTTCCATGCTTCCGGGAATCGTGTGCAGTGCGCTTTCCATCGGACCCTGTTAGGACTCTAACCGGCAGTTCAACTGTTGTCAGTATTTGCTTGAGACTACTGAGCTACTGCGGACGCAACGACCTTCGTGACTGAGTTACTGGGTGGGAAATAGCACCGTTCACTGCCTACTGACTTACACGCTACTACCGTGCAGAGAATAGGGCAACCCGATTACCAGGCGACGAACTTACCAAACTTCAACCGCCAATTAAATTGTTATTTTAATCAGTTTGGTCTGCGTACTGCTTACCGATGAGTATTAGGGGGAATCGAATTGTATACTTAGAAACTCGTCACATCTAGACGATTCCCGAAAGAATCTAATGACCATATAGTGCTTTCCGGGTGTTTCATGACTACTGCACTCTTCTGATATCGCGAACACAGCACGAGGCCTAAAGGATTACTGGCCCGTAGTCTTAAGGATCATAAGCCTACCTTGTAATCCGAAAATCGCGGGTTCGAGCTTGCCTAGGGAACCGGGCGATCCTCGCAGTGTTCTTAGCGCACGCGGGACTTGGTGGTTGAGCGACAGGGAAGGTTAAGTACTGCATACCGGCGAACTGCTGATACCTTATCGTACTTGTAGCACTTCAGTTCACTTTCTCGACTTTATTTCGTGATCACGAAAGTACTGGACCTGGAGGCCGATTAGTTAAGATGCTCCATCCAGAAGAAACCTTAGGTGCTGCTGCAGCCCTCAACTGCATCTACACTGCTGATACGCATGCAATCCTACTCCGGCTGATTAACTGTGATCGCGAGGTCTTTTACGAAGAATCGACCTGCCTGTTCGAACAACCATGGAAGGATGAGATAGTGCTAAACAAATTGAGCGGTTCGATAACCATGTCAATGCTGGACGGCAGTTATAGCGTCTGTACAAATATGACCGCTATCAGCTTGACGATAGTGATGTTTATAGATCACTAGCTTCTGTTCTCCTCTGCCGACTTTACAGAATGTGATCTCCGGAAGGGGAGATCTCAGACAGATTTTCAGTCCCTGCGGGACTGTATCGGGGAACTTCTGTCCAGCAGTATGTGCTGGGTCTACACCACATCTCCTCTCGAACTGACGGTGGCACTGTTCCTCAATCTCAGAGTACTTGTGACTGGGTCGATCGCTCTCTTGGACATATATCCTCGGGAATGTGACCACAGACACTCCCAATTCTCCATCGTTTATGGATGCTTTTCTGCTGTTTAGGGAGCACGTTCTTTCTTTCTTCACCTTTGGCCCACAGCAAACCATCTATCACGAGCGGCTATTTTTTATAGATCGCACCCATCTTTAAATTGATTTTTCGCTTCTATAAGGCATATCACTGAACGGAACGTGATGACCATTAAAAGATTAGTCTTATACGTATCATGTCCAATTCGCTATCGGTCGTACTTCTACAGATACGCCAAAGGCACGCAATCTGGGTTTCTCACACCTCATGATTGTGTTGATTACGACCCACCTACTATTCGAAGCTAGTGCAACGGGATCTGATTACGGCCGGATTCGTTGATTGAATACAACAACGTAATTAACCTTAGATATCAAGAGAGCAGTATTAGGGTTTAGATACTATGGGTTGGAATTCACCGCATATTGTTAAGGGAGCCCACACATAGAAGCTCTCGAAGCCGCTCCTCTCGCTATCAGCTCGGAGAAGATTGTATGGACGCATCCTGAAACTAGACTGCCGTTTCATCCTTTGGGGGGAATCGTCGACATCTGTCTTATGTGTGTCGAGAACCAGCGGCTTGAAACTTTTTAGAGTCCGTGGTTAAGGCCATTGGGTTACGGAGAAGGGTAGTGACCGGTGTGGCTAAGCTACTAGGTGTAATATTACACAGCTTAATCTCCACTAGCTCACAGGTTGCTGCCCTGCAAAGTAAACTACTAGTCTAACCTCGTTGCACAACATAAAGCGCAAAACACCAAGCGGAATTAATCGAAATTGCCAGCGGAACGTTTAGTGCCTCGTTTGGCTATGCTTGTACGACGATTGTCATCATTGCATTCACTCCTCTCGCCTGAAATATTTGATCACCTTTAATTTTGCTTAAGGCGGTTTGAAGTGTATGTGTAAAGTTATTTTTATTTCTCGGTTTCCTTGCAGTTGTGTGGCAGCGGTTCATGGACATGACATGGAATGCACTCTTACGACATACCGTACAGTCATACACTGTCCAACCTTCGAAAGACCAATCATCGTTGTCCCTCGAGACACTACTTAGTTGACTTGGCTGCTCTTCAAACGAAACTTTTGTGAAAGAGTGCCCGAAACCTACGTATGTCTTCTAAAACAGTCTGCTTCACTCCGAACGAAAACTGTGGGTGTCTGGGGGGGGGGAGGGACGCTGAAGTTCTTGATTACCATCGAAGCACTGAGGGCCCTCGGGGTTGTTCGCTGATATACGCAACGCGACCGTGGTTGGGCTAATCACCTTGTCCGACTGCAACTGCATTATTTAAACAGATTGACCCAACTTGACCACTTAATACGACCTACGTTTTGGACCACTGAGTACAATACTATGTGGCTGTACGGTCAGTATGATTTTGTTCGGAGTCCTAGTCTTCTTGTTTTCTCGGTTGGACACTGGATGTTTTGCGAAGAGCTGATAATTGTTCACCGGAATAGCACAAGTGGGAAGCTCTACCAATAGGCTACCGGTGTTTCCGAGTGATAAACTTGGAGTAGGCTAATGATGTCACTGTAATTTATAATTCCCCACATGCCGCTCGAATTTGCTTGTTAACCAGAGAGGTCTGTCTCGCAAGTCAGAATGACCTTTTCGAACTACGAAGTTGTTCTTCTGGACTGGCTAGACACGATTTCTACTTCCATCCTTTCGGACTGGTTTGCCCTTAGACCCATCTCTGTGCCAGTATTTATCATATCTTCATTTATTTCGAAAGCTCTTGTGGCTTGTGGCGTTACGCTTCTGTTTATCTGAAAGACCGCGTCCACACCGCTACTGTTCACACAGGCCTGCTCTCTACTTGCTCATTCGCATAAACCGTGCTCTCGGAACCTTATCGGTTTGCATCAACCACAGCGTCAGCAATTTGGTTGGGCGGGTTTTTGGGTTTCGGAGCACCCGCCGTGTGTCATGGATTATGACACGTAATCTCAGTTATGGCCTTAGTTGACTTCGAAGTCAACCTCTGCCAATACGGTCACTGGGACCGTCACCAAAGTGGAGGGTTTCGGTGTGGCTCTCTCCCATCCCTGCACTCCACGACTGACGGTTTCGTCTTGGTTTAGACTCATCAGGTAGAGATAGCCGAGCTGGGAGTGGAACTCGGCGCATAGTGTTTGGTGGTTATCGCCATGATCACTAGGTCATTGAGCTTCGCGAGCAGTGTTTGACACAGCGGTCAGAAGTTGATCTTCGGGTTTCGGAGCACACCGAAACGTTCCACGTCGTTGACGGTCCCAGCGACCGTATTGGCAGAGGCTGACTTCAACGTCAACTGAGGCCACGATTGAGATTGCGTGTCGCAATCCAAGACCCAGCGGGTGCTCCAAAACCCTAATATCAACTTCGAACCGCTGTGTCAAGCACTGCTCGCATAGCTCAATGGCCTAGTGATCATGGCGATAGCCACCAAGCACTATGCGCTGAGTTTCATTTCCAGCTGGGGTATCTATCTTCTCAGTCAAAACCAGGACAAAGCCATCGGGTGTGGAGTTCATTGATGGGAGAGAACCCCACCGAAACTCTCCACTTGGCTGGACGGACCGAAGCGGCGTAATTCTGGGCCGCATAGATTCACTACAACATCTCGCAGACTTCGACACTTGCCAGCATACTTAATGATCCCCCAAGCGACTGTCTTTGTGCGCTCTGATTTTAGGTGGCACTCAGCGTGGAGGACAATAAACGATTTGGGCTCAACGTATCCAGGATGTGACTTCAACAATGGCAACAGTAGGGCGCTACCGACAGAGTAATACGGGTTCACAGACCACGAGCGCCTGTAGCCGTGTGAACCCTTTTCGATACGGCCAAGGGTCGTGACCAACGAAGGACCAGTTGCAAGGTTCCTTTCCTGATAATCCTTTTATTTTCCTTGTTTCTTCCTTTTGTTATATTTGCTTGACCTAACCTGACCATGTCCACTATGGACTTGCGATTGCAGTTTTGACTTTAGCTATACCTAACTTAACTGCATTCATACATTCATACCTTCATAGCTACTGCTATCTAGGTGATTTGATGTACCAGTTCATTTTCCTCGTTATCAGCGATCCAACGTCTAATGAATCGCTGCCATCTTGCAACATCACTTAATACTTTGAACTTGCGAGGCTTATAGCCAGGGCTGGTGTATTCCTTCGAGCGTTAAGTGTACCATCTTGCGATTCTCACACAGCAGTCAATCCCATCCGCATTATCCAAGTCATTCGATTTTTCGCCGCACACAGAACTAGGCGACCAAGTTGATCTGATCTTTAGCCACTTAGATACCCATCGACACAGCATTGTCGATCTGGGAGGTGAACAGACTATCGCAGAACGTTAAGTCCCAATCTCATATCATCTCAACGAACTTCTTACGATGCGTTAAGTCACTAGTGGTAATTCATGTTTTTTTCCATGATATATCAGTAACACCTGATTTGGTCCTCTCACCTACTTGAATATCAGCAAGCTCGTAGAAATTTTCACCTTGACTGATTTGCAGCGGACAATGAATGTGAATCACCTTGTTGTCGGTTTATCATGCAATCATTTTAAATGCTTTGCCAGCGAACTTGTTTGAACTTCTTAGTGCAAATCCTTTGTCCACTGTTTGCGTGGCACTTGCATTGTCTTCTTTTCAACATCGTTTTTCAACTCCAAATGGTTTCTTTCTTATCTCCCCAGACCGTTCGCCGGATAATCCGAACAGCAATGAACTTCCACGCATTGTCAGCCTTCTTTCTGGTTCCATTTCCGGTCTGGCAGCCAAGACGACAGTCTATCCGCTGGATCTGATCAAAAAGCGCCTTGCTATTCGCGGATTTGAAGAAGCCAGAAAGAGCTTTGGCACACTTCCCAAACATTACACTTCTGCGTCCTATAAGCTCTCAAGTAGCGTTAGGCGAGCGGACCGGGTTGACACACAGTTATACGCCACATGGGCTTGCTTCCGTGGGATTGTGGCCCATGAGGGTATTGTTGGCTTATTCAAGGGCTGGACTCCATCCGCCATGAAAGCGATGCTGAGCACCGGTTTGACATTTTTCTTCTACGAACAATTTTGCCATGTCTTTCGGCATATTCTCGGGTGATATTTTATTTTTATTTTTAGCGCTGCATTTTCTTACGCTTTGGAGGAAATTATTTTTCATCCATTTTTTGCACACATGTGCATCCATTACTCAGGCGATATGGATAGACCTTATCGCTTTTCTTTCTTTGTGGCACCATGTGCTTCAATTAAATTACTTACATCCTAACATCTTGTTTCGACGCATGCGCTCACGTTCTCATTGAGCATACGAAGGGTTCTTGCGTAACCGATAATCCACATGTCCCGCGTATTTTCAATTTCTCCGTCACTTATATCGTTTGCCATCGAATTTGTAGTTTTGCGTTATTGATTTTTTTAGAGTGGTTTCCCAGGTGAAATGGTTAGATTTTCATTCAAATTCAGACTTCATTTACAAACTTGAAATATTTTATTTTCGTGCTTCTCTTCAAAGTTAACGAAATGTATTTAGGCTCCTAAGGACACCGATGTTTTACGCAACCTGTCTCTAATTACCGTTTTACTTTAATGAGTCTTTGATGCAGATAGCTGCTACTTTGTGGTCCCCCTTTGGCCTAAATGTTGGAGACTGATCTTTATCCGTCATCGAAGTTTTGAATTCACCAAGTTCCATTCCTGTTTTATCTCTGATGACTTTGTAAAAGCTTCAGCCGTCCCCACTACCAAATTCTACTCAGCGCAAACGTAATGGCGCAAGTTGATTACATTCGGAATAGTCGGGTACTGTTATAGCTCGGTCGATTCACGGGTACAGGAATGGCTTGAACTGATGAAGCGACCGGGCAGTTGAATTCCGAATGAAGCATTTTGTGGAACGGCTCAGTATTCTTCTCCAATTACTTCAGCCCTCACAAAGCTCGGTGACTTCACACCCGTAACCCCATCCGACTTGGGTTTACTCTGTACTAGTGAAGCAGGGCGTACAGTCCCAGTCTCTCGCATCCGTCTTCGTATGGTAAACGGCGTAAACTGGGGATGAGCCTACCAGCAACATGTGGGACCCTTTCGATCTTCTGTGTTCCGCCTCTGGTGACCTGATAATAGGCGGGCCAACCTTACTCAACCATTTGTCTTATTATGGAGTAGTGCCGACCTCTTCAGACCAGATGCAAAAGTTGCGTTCGGATGCACAGAGCATGCGCAACCCGTTTCGGTGTGGTCTGTTCGTTTTGTCTACGTACTTCAAATCGCAGCATGAGAGTACGCTTAAGTCCTCCACAGAAGGTGGGAGATGTAGCAGTTGGTGTAGGTTCCTCAGTCACCATCGAGTATGCACCACAGAAGCGTAGCGGCTGCTAAGCAACGGAATGCTGAACAATCCGCTTCCCCTGCACCACAATCAGCCATGTCTCCATCTCCATTGTCTTCTCCAACTTTGGTAGAACGCCGGGCGAAAACAGACTGTACTTACGTGAATCAAGCAGTACTGACAGCAAAGAAAATCAGGCACCATTCAAAACGTCTGGTTAAGCAAATTCCATTAGATCTGACATCTAGTATTAACAAGCATGGAGCAGCCAAACACCAACCCTTGGTACCTGAAGCTCAAATATCTCTTGTCGAGACTAAGCCACCCAGAACATCGGTTACATATGCAGAGATTGCTGCAAGGGTCCACCGAGAGGCCGCCGTTGCGTCCTCTTCCATTGTAAACACCGTTAATGCAGATGGAGAGAAAAAGAGCAAACAATCACTTGTCAACAAGTCAAGACAAATGAGTACTCTACCTTGTAGATCGACGAAAATGGGATCCAACAAGAGTGCCCGGACTGTTGTATGCTCAAATGTCCCTGAATCTACCGCCATCACATTGCGGGATAAGTTATCAGACGACCAAGACCAATGGAACTCATTGTGTATGCAGATGAGTATCAAAGCCAAGCCCATAAACTTGTTACGAATTACTCGTCATTCGAACTCGCCACACTATGGTGAACCCAGACTTATTCGAGTAACTCTAGAATCCTCCACCGACGTGGAAAATGTTTTGCTCTCCGCAAGCGCGCTAAAACACGAATCCTGTGTGATACGTATCTATCCTGATGTCCCTTGGAGCGCGCGACAACCAAAACGAAACACCGAAGAGGGGCACAGCAAGCAAGACCGCCTAAACACAGTCTTCATACATGGCGTGCCAGAACATCCTTCTAACCATGTTCAAGATACCGGAAAGCACGATTTAGAACAGTGGCGATTCATTCGTGAAACACTTTCTTTGGATGATGTTGTGGCATTATCGCTCACCAGGATACCTCTCTCACCAAATTATAGAGGATGCGGCCATAAAATCCTAAAACTTGTGGTTCAGTCAGAGCAACAAGCAAAGGATGTTTTGGATCGATGGCGGAGAAATCGGAAACATCTTCCTTCCGAAATTCGGTTAAAGGTCGCAAACCGTTCGCACAGCTCAAGTATTAAAGCAACTGAAGCAGCAAGCATCCTGACGAATGTACAGAAGTGTAACTTGACTGCTGCTTTAATTGACTCTGACGTAGGTCTAAACGAAGATTAGGACGCACCTTGGCCGAATCAATTTGTAAACGAGGTATCATTGACCCATCAAAAAAACGAGTAACTGCCGACCTCCCATCGGTCGGCATTCTCCCACACTTGATAGCTTCACCTCTCTCCGGGCTCCTAGAGACAGAGAAACTGGCCTGCTTGTATACGAATGCTCAGGGACTTTCTAACAAACTGGCTGAACTGAAAGATCGCCAAGCTTCCGGCTCGTATGATGTCATTGGTATCACGGAGACATGGTTGCACACTGGAATGACGGACGCTGAAGTGTCGCTACCCGGCATGTCGCTGATCCGGAACGATAGGCTCACAAAAGGAGGAGGGGTAATCCTGTACTACCGAAACGACTTACAGTGTGAAGCCGTGGAGGATTCAGATTCGCAGTTCCCCGACTCTCTTTGGTGCCGATTGCAGTTAAAAGGCAGGGACGCTTGCCTTATTATCTTGGTGTACCGCGCCCATAACTCAACACCCGAAACCGACTACCACCTAATGGCTGCTTTAAGGTGCAGTTTACAACAAAAGTACACTCACATTCTTATCATGGGAGATTTCAACGTACATTGTTTAGAAGCCCCTGCCACGACCGGAGAACAATTCAAAACCGATCTACATGATCTAGTAACTACTGTTCCTCTTTACAACCACATCACTTTGCCCACTCGGTTCAGAACTGGTAACAGTCCATCTGTGCTGGATCTTGTGCTTACCAACAAGGAGCATATGATTGATGCGTTGGTTTTAGACTGCTCGTTGGGTCGCATTGGTCACGCAGTCATCAGTTTCAACTTCGTCTGCTATTCAGAATATCGGAATGATAATGATGATACTGTGCGAACCATCACAAGGTACGACCGACTCGCCCAGCTAGTCAGCGCCACAACATGGTCTTTCCTCGAAGAAGAACCCCCGGAAGTCGCCTGGCTCGAGTGCGTCAACACATTCAGTCAGCTGATTGCACAGGCTTCAGAGATCAAAGCTTGCAATAAGTGCAAATCGGCTTCTTTCGTTAGGAGCAGAACCCGAAAATGGATGACAGTACGCAATGCAGCATGGCGAGTGTACAGAGAAGCTCCAGCACCAGAAACTTGGGACAACTACGTAGCCCAACGTAACCACTGCACTCAACTGTTAAGAGAAGACAAAGCCGCCTATCAGCAGAACATTGCAAAAACCTTCAGTGCTAACCACAAACTGCTGTACAAGCACGTTAATAGCCTACGAAAGGTGAGGCAAGTATTTTCCTCCACTCAAGACGGCTGATGGCCCAACAAGAACGTCTATGGAAGCTGCAAACGCGCTGCAGACGCAATACGCCCCCACGTTTCCAAGAGTCTTGCCACCAAGCGATCTACCAAGCTTTGTATTCTGCTCACCAGGACTAGCCCACATCAATTTTACCGCAGAGGCTGTATTGCAAAAGCTGACTTCTCTACGCAAACACAGCTCGCCGGGTGTCGACGCCATTCGTCCTGAGGCATTGGGAGCAGCAGCAAACCAACTGGCAGGACATTTAGCTCAGTTTTTTCAGCACTGCTTAGACCAGAATCAAGTTCCCGCCATGTGGAAGCTTGGAATAATAAGCCCGATTCACAAAGGTGGAAGCAGATCTGATCCCTCCAACTACCGCCCAGTAACCCTTCTTCCTATACTCTCCAAGGTCATGGAATCCATAGTTGCCGATGCACTGGTGTGCTATCTGGAAAACTGCAACCTCATCACTCCTGAACAGCACGGTTTCCGTCGGCAGCGGTCATGTACAGCTAATTTACTAATTGCACGCAGTAGTTGGACCGAGGCAGCCGACGCTGGAGAAGGTGTTGATGTGATCTACCTGGATTTTTCCAAGGCTTTCGATCGTCTAGACCATCGGATACTACTATCCATGCTGCAGCATTACGGGATCGGCGACCCTCTTTTAAGCTGGATTGCCAACTTTCTATTTCAATGGCAATTAGTGGTCAGAGTTCGGAGCTATTTATCGGACCCCATACAAGTCGAGTGTGGTATGCCGCAAGGCTCGGTTCTAGGTCCACGTTTGTTTCTGGTGTTTATTAATGACATTGCACAGGGAATCGCTTCAAACTTCCTAATGTTTGCCGATGATATCAAGATCTGGCGCAGGATCCATGCGAACGCCGACCAACATGTGCTCCAAAGTGACTTAGATACAGTGTATCAATGGTCGATCCAAAACTTATTGCATTTCAACGTCAGTAAATGCAAGGTGCTTTCCATCCGACATCAAAGCAGCTACTCATACCGACTCGGAACGGATGTACTGCAACAATCAACTGTCGAACGTGACTTGGGTGTCCTGGTTCAAGATGACTTGGGTTGCTCCAGGCAATCCGAAAAGGCCTCGAAGACCGGGAACCAACACGTTGGGCTGTTGCGGCGGGCGTTTGGACCAATAAACAGCTCCAAATTTCGACAAATGCTCAGTGCGTATGTTCGCCCCCATGTCGAATATGCCATTCAAGCTTGGCAGCCATGGCTGAAACACGACCTTAATGCACTGGAGCAGCCACAACGCCAGGCATCTAAGAACGTCATTGGAATGCGCAATCGGTCCTACCAGGAGAGGCTGCGACGACTAGGATTGTTCAGTGGCAGCTATCGCAGGCTACGAGGCGACCTGATTATGACATACTTGATTCTGCGAGACCCACATCATGTGTGTCGCCCTTTACTGCAACTCAGCAGCAATACAAACCTGAGGGGCCACTCATTAAAACTCGCAGAACAATACAGTCGTCTGGAGTGCCACAGAAATTTCTTTTCCATCCGTGTCTATCACCCGTGAAATGCTCTCCCAGAATCGGTCGTCTCTGCACCGACACTAACAATATTTAAAAGACGGTTGGACGAT